TTTTTGGCAGTTTTTGGCCTGGCCAGGTTTAAACCCACCACCTCCGGTATGTGGGGCCAGCGCCCTACTCCCTTTGAGCCACAGGCACCACCCTTATGGTCCTTTTAAGTGCTAAATTTAATGATGAACAAAGTTAAATTTCTCATAACACTTTTGGAATGTATATTTTGCTCTCATTTCCCAAAATGCTTAAAAGTTAAAGTTTAATGATATGCTTTTTTTTTAGTGGAAATTGATGACTTGAAAAAGATTACCAATTCATTGACTGTGCTTTGCAGTGAAAAACAGAAGCAAGAAAAGGTAAGAACAAGCTGCATGGGGAAATGTATATTACATTAGGGTGGGGCTACAGGCAGAATATTCAATAAATGTAGTGAGATAGCCTATCCTAAGAAAAAGTTCAACAGTTCACCAATACCATTTAAGTTGGAATAGAACAAGAATATGAGTGTCATTATCGTCCTTTTATTATAGACATGTTCATGGTCCTCTTTTTTGAATTAATAGAAATTGCTGACATCACACAAATTGAGTTTGATCAACTTCTCTAAGCTTCAGTTTTCTCTAATATGGAGATGATAATACCCCCTTTGCTGGCTCAGTGGTTAGGGTGCTGGCCACACACACCCGGTCTGGTGGATTCGAACCTGGCCCTGGCCTGCTAAAACAACAATAACAAAAAAAATTGCTGGGTGTTGTGGCAGGCGCCTATAGTCCCAGGTACTTGGGAGGCTGAGGCAAGAGAGTCACTGAAGTCTAAGAGTTTGAGGTTGCTGTGAGCTATGACGCAACAGCACTCTACTGAGGGCGACATAATCAGACGCTATCTCAAAAAAAAAAAAACAAACACTTAACAGGGTAATATAAGCATAAAATAAGTATGCCAAGCGATATGTGTGGTTTTACATTTGGGAGTACTTGTCTATACTTCCTTAATTTTCTTTAGTGAACTTCAGGCTTTCTACCAAGAACTTATAACCCATGCTGGAGGGCTAAGTATCCAGAGTAGGAACAAGTTTTAGAGACAAAGACTCTGGAGAAGTTTTGGAGACCTGTTTAGGTGCATAACATGTAGGTTTGGATTTTCCTTAGAGCACTAAAGTTTTTCTAGGACTTGAAGTTTTTGTGTCTCTATGAGGGTTGCTATACCAGATAAGGTGCCCATAGCAGATAAAGTCTCATGAATTAACTCTTTTTCATCTTTAGCAAAACAAAGCCAAAAAGAAGAAGAAAGGTGTGGTTCCTGGAGGGGGATTAAAGGCCACCATGAAAGACGATCTGGCAGATTATGGTGGTTATGATGGAGGATATGTACAAGACTATGAAGACTTCATGTGACATTTTATCTTCTCCTGGTGTCTTCTTTATGTTGCCCACAATCCCTTCAACATGTAGCACAATTTCCTTTCCTTTCAGTTCTGCCAAATGCTACAATCAGAAGTGCAGCATCTTTTGTGCTGGTTATTTAACCCCTTGACACTTAGGTGCTAATGTGCAAATGAGGGAACTTGGATCTTGCTGCCAAGGGGTTAAAATTGGGAATCTCAGTTGCTACTAA